AACTCAAATTTGAAATTTGGAAATTGTTTTATTATCGATTTCATATTTTGTAAAACTTTAACGAATTTTTGATTAACAAACTCAACGATTTAAAAGCGAGCAATGGCAACGTTGTACAGAATAAATATTTTTATCTCCAGCGCGCGAGTCTGTGTGTCGGAAATTCTAAACATATGCTCATTTTAAAATTCTTTTGTGATAGAGCTCTTGAACTGAATTTTATGGTTTAAGTGCGAAGAACATAAGTTTAATTAATAAAGGTAACACACAAAATGTTAAAAAAAATGTTCCTTTGGACGCAATTTAAAATCTGAAACCTTTCAGATTTTTTTTTTTTTCTTTGATATGAAGGAATTGAAATAATATTTCAGAATACAGATTTGAGAAAATTTAAGATTTCTGTCCAGTTGTAATATTAATATGCAACAATATATGTAATAAATAACAGTTATAATGTATAATATGCAGCATTTGTAATATGTAACATGCAACAATTGTAGTACGTAATATGTAACAGTTGTAATATACAACAATATCATACGCTAGAAAGTATTTCAGGAAGGTATTTCTCCACATAAAAAAGTGCCTTCCTCACGCTTTTAATCAACTTTATGTGTTACTAAATGATTGTAGTTTTATAGCAATTTATAATATAATCATTTTTCTATTTATAAATAGAAACAGAAAAAAAATATTAACAGAAGTTTGGATCGTTGTTTGTAAAGCGTTACAGGATAGGTCGGTGATGCTAACTGTAACAGAACTCTCATTTCTGTATTAAGTAGTTTTTCTGGATTTATGTCTCATCTGAGTTCAGTATAGATTTATGTTCTTCTAAGATGCAAAAAGAGGTTTCATTAATTTAAAATACATTCCTCTGTTGTTATAAATTAATATTTAAATTTTTTAGACACAAAATTACCTGCATGTTCGAAGTGAATGGCAGTTTTTGAGAAATTTTACCAACTTTTTAAAAACGTCCTTCGAATTTTATATTTCATATACAAGGGAAAATGATTTCAGTAATAAAACCACTATTGATCAAAAAACTAATCAGTTTTAGTATTAAATGGCAATATGATTTCTTTCACACACCCTCCGTTTTGTATAGTTTGTTATTTACTTATTTGTTTTTGGCATAAAAGTGCAAGTTATATATACTGGCAGGATAAATTATTATACGCTTACCAAAGGTTAAAATAAATTACATCCCTTATTATCAGAGATGTTACAGACACTAATAGTATAGCGTTTATTTACCGATACAGAATACTGAAAAATTCAAGGTAGTGATTTAGAAGGATTTTTTTCAAATCCAGCATTTAGATAATTTAAAATTTTTGTTGGTTAATGTCTAATAGAAGTATATACATTTTGTGCTAATTAATTTAAGATAACTTTTTATAGCCAAGTGTTCAATAATTTATTCGGATATTCATAAACGCACATAATTCAGCAAACGCCAATTTTTAAATGTACAAAGCAACTTAAAATTTCATTTTGTTTTCTTCAGTTTCACTTTTTTCGATTCTCCACATCTCTAAATATTGTTATAAGAATTTTAAAGCCCCAAAACAACGAATTTTACGAATCTTTTGTGTAAGAATAGAGGATAATAAAAAAGAAAAAAAATGTTTATTTGATATAAATTGTTTTTTATACAACAAAGTCTGAAAATTTATTTTAATGAAACAAATTAAAAATATAGTTATTAAAAACATATATATGCAAATTTATTAAAAAAAATAAAATAAATTTTAATAAATAAAATACACAATTTAGACTCTTGAATCTTATGTTTCATTATCTCAATATAATTTAACAAAAATTATTTCAAAAATAAGTCAAAACTTTTACAGTTTTCCAGGCGAGTTTATCTAGATAAACATTAAACGTGGATCTCTGCATTTCCTCCAGAAAATAGAGGAAAAATAACGAAAACTAGTTTGTTTTGTCCATAAAAGCACACTTGCAGTGTGGCACTCATGGCAGTTACTAAGCGATACTGGTGACATAGGGGCTACTAAAATTACAGTTAAGTTCATTTTTGTGCATTTCTAAAACACGAAAAAATTTAAATTTCTATAAATGTTGAATTAAAATGTTTGTGTTTCTTTGAGATTGAAACTTCTTTAGCTTAGAATTCGAATGGTAACGAAATAGTAACGATGCAAGCTTTAGAATTTGAAACTTAATTCGCATTTTGAGAAATATAAGAACTCTAATCTTTAATGATTCTATTCCTAATGCTAGTAGAACAAGACGTCTGTTTATCTGGCAAATATTCCAAGCAATGCTTGTAATCAAAATGTGCTTTTAATACAAATTAAATTTTATTACCTCAATATATGAACAGTTTTGTCTGAAGTCATAGCGTTGCTTTTGCATCTGAAATTATGATATTTTATTGTTACGTGTAATAAAATGCTGAATGTTAAATAAAAAAATATTCTTAATAGATTGATTCCTTTTTGAAATAAAATAATACAATCAAGCACCTTCTCTTCCTCTTCTATTTAGCTTCCAGTTATTAATTTATTCAGTAAAAGTAGTAAAGTGGAAAGACAAATTCCAAGGCATGTGTAACCTTATTAAACCCTTCAGATTTACCAGAACTGGTAGTTACAAAAAAAATTAAGATGAAGATTAAAATATTTTATTTATCATCTAGACAGACTTCGCAATACAAGCAGTAATAAGAGCTTTAAAATTTTTGCCATACTGATTTTTTGAACAACTTTAAAGAATTTTGCTATTTAGTTATTTTTTCTTCATTAATGAATGATTTAAAAATGACTTTATTTATTTATAAATTTATTAACTCAAATGGCTGTAGCCTAGAAGGGCTATTAGTCTCAAAACGGCATTTTGCATGAATGTCTGAATCACTTTTCAAATTGTTGCCACCAAATATTATCGCCCTGTGTTCTTAATTAAAGACTAAGTAACTGCCACTCAGGCATAAATTATGTAGTCTCCACTCGAACGTGGGGCACTGGAAGCCCGAACTGCAATGGCAAGAGCGAGGGCCTCAATTTTGAAAACGTTAGTCTGCCATCGAAAACGCACCGTAAGTGCGAATGGGAACTGTAGGAAATTTAAAAAAAATTATATATGGCGCGAGGACTATCGGAAGTTCGAAGATACGTTTTAAATATTTTAGCACAAGTGGCGTTAGCCAATGCTCGAAACTGTATGTGCTGAATGGAAAAAAAAAAAAAAAAAAAAAAAAAAAAAAAAAAAAAAAAAAAAAAAAAAGCCCTTTTGGAATAATTTAAATCTGAAAGCTTTCAGACTTTTTTACTTTTTATTCATTTGTTCTAAAATTTAGTTTTTACTTAGCGTATGTGCTAGAATTCAAAGAAGGGGGAAACTATACTCAGTTGCTATTGCATATATTGCAGATCAGTCTTATTTTCATTTATCTTAACCGAAGCAGAAAGTGTTACTCACATTTGCAAACGATTTTGATCTTCGGTGAAGGAGACCGTGTTAGGGTTGTCATGTTTAATAAGGATATTAATTTATAAACACAATCACTTCCAAAAAGGACGTTTTAAAGAGGTTTCCGCCACGAGGGGCTTCATTTTATGTATTTTAATATCTCCTCCTTACGTAACTAAGAATCAGTCACGTCAGAATTAAGCCACCTAATAAATTTTATGCATTAACTTTCTAAGTAAGAACCCATTTATGGTAAAATAAAGGTAAATTTATAATAGCTTAACGTTGCTCAATGAGTACGGGTTTGAATCCCAAAGAAAACATGGATGTTTGTAAGCATATAGTGTCTGTACGGCAAAGGGACTTTCAAAATGCATGACAAGCCAAACGTCCTGTCGAAAAGTTGGTAGTAGGACAAGAGAGGATGCTTGGATCGCCCCCACAGGGCGTTCTCCCTCAAAATTCAAACGAAGCTGCGTAGTTGGTGCGACGAGACTATACTTCCACGGTTAATGGTTAAGTTCTGGTGTCCCGCCCACTTACTGCAACCTATACTTGTTATATTTCCAGTTAACAATATTCTGTTTTTATTGCATGATAACACTAAGGAAATTTCGCCTCATCTATAAAGGATAAAATATTAAATTTTATATATGTATATGAACGTAATAGAAAATTATATTTTCTGGCTTGCATATAGCTAAAATTAGTACAAAAATTCATTTGTATACTCTCCATAAAAATCAATAGTATGTATTTACTCTCTTTTTATACGAGTATGTTTTTACTCTCTTTTTATCTCATACTTGCTCTCTTTTTTTTCATCTTCCGTACCTTTAGATTAAAATAGTTTCGTAGTTATTAGTATACAATTCTTACTTACATAACCATATAGCTATATTTTTGTAACACAGTAAATTATTTTTCTTTCTAGATCAGTTAATGTGTCGCTTCCCTCTTAAAGACTATACACTGTTTTATAGTTTTTTGCTGAATTGTGAGTAATTAAAATGGTAAATTACATATGTTCCCAATAAATAACTTTTGTATTATACATAAACATGAGATGCATGTATGTTTTTGTATACATTAAAACTTGCTTTCTGTACTACTATATAAATAAAAAAAAATGTAATCATATATGCTACCACTCACCTTCATACTATATCCTTAGATAAAACTAACTTCGTAATTATAGTATATAATCTTCATTTTTATAAGAAATTGGAAATATGAGTAATTTTTATAATACAATTTAAAAAAAAACCTTCTGGGTCAGCCCCTTTAATTATTTTCCTATTGTTAATGATACAACACTTGTTTTTTAGTTTATTAGGAGAATTATAAATAACTGAAGTACTAATAATTAATTACGCACGTTTTATAAGTATTATATGAAAACAGAACAGCATCATGTTTTTTCACTTTTAAACTTGTGGCACGTTTTGTAAATTTCACTATTATAAAACTTAGTTAATTCATAATATAAGACGAAATGATTAGAAGATAAATTCATTTTCATATTAAAGACACGCTTTATGAAATCACGAACTTACCAGTCACAGCGGTGTCTTCGTCCAAATCCACGAGAACTCGGCCCGTTAGAAAGGAACCAGGAAAGTAGAGCAAACTTTCGTTATCTAACAAGATTAAAAACTTTCTTAATTTCTTCGCCATAGCTGCGTAGTCCGAAGATAACTGGCAAGGATTAAATCTTCAATTAATCCAAATGGGATAACTTGTCACAACATCAATCTACGGATGCCATCCAGCAATCACGGACAGCAGCTGTCGCACGAAAGTAAATGAAAACTGCATCGCTGATCAGTTAAGGTATGGTTGTAGGTGGGCTTACTTCATTCGAATGACCTCGACTCCCTTCGACAACCGGTCCTTCAGACATGACGTCACATAAGTTTCTTTTCTTTTGCTGTGTGTTTTTATTTGTTTGTTCTTTCTCTTTACTGTTGGCCAACTTATGCCTACTTGCGCGTGACGTAACTGTTTTGAGTCTCATGGCTCGACTTCTGCCACAGGCACGTTATTCGAAGCTAAAAGTTCTTAACGGGACTTTACCTGGTCGTGGGAATGTTAACGACTCTTGTTTCGGGTCATAACAGTTTCTCTTCGTATCAACGGATGCCTGCACTTTCATTTAGCCACTAATTTCAGCCCCGGGCGAAAAAAGAAACGCATGACATCATTTTACTGTGGAATCTCGCAAATTTAGCATCCGAATTAAGATTCGTTAAACACAGCAATGCTTCTTTCGAACATGCAAGAAAGAAGCATGGCATCTTGAACATTGTAGCTTTGTAAAAGTAGCATTTTGTTGTAGGATAATCTTAGTTATTTCATTAAAATATTGTTACGAATTTGGTATTTAAAAAGCTAATGTTAGTTCAATTATAAATTAAATGGTTTTATTTCTCGCGCAGTGCAGCGCGTGACGAATATTAAAAGAAAGCTAAGGGAAAAAATTAAAAATACAAGAGCGCGTGCGTTAAAATAAATAAATCTCTTTTTGATTTCGAGAAAGTACTGGAAAAAAATTCTAGCGCGTGATTTAAAATCTTATAAAAGGAGGAAAACATCTCAGTTTGTAGTAGTTGCTTAATTTATTGTGTTTAGAAAAAAATGCTCTGTTGATTGTAGCGAATTGCGGATTAGCGTTCTTGTAGCTGTTTTGATTACGTTTTGACTTTTGGTAGTTAAAGATAACTTCTGTGAGATATGTGTAATACTGCTGATAATTTGAGAAAATTTAAGCATTTTTGTTGTGATAATAATAAATTTTTGTTCATTTTTCATCGGACTTGTGCATTCATTTATAACGAATCCGTACGCACGCAACAATTTTTGGTGTCAGGAGTGGGTTTGAATGCCAATAACAAGAGCGATGGAAGAGCAAAGAAGGCAATTGATACACCACTTTGCCTCGTTTAAAGAAGAACTGAAAGAAGAGATGAATCAAGCCAAGGAAAGATGGAAGGGGACCGGAATCCGTTAAGGAAGAAATGAAATCCGGAAATTAAGAAGAGATGCTCTTTAGAGATGAAGAAGGTCAGGACGAAATGAAAAAGAAATTACCTGCGTAATAGAAAATAAATTTGAGGCTATGGAAGGCAGAATAGACGCGGGTTGAAATAAAGTTCAGACCAAATAGAAGAAAGAGTTTCTTCGGTAAAAGAACAAGTAGAAGAAAGAATTTCTTCTGTAAAATAACATATAGAAGAGAGAGTTTCTGCCGTCGAACAACAAATTGATGATAGGGTTTCTGCTGCCGTTGCCAAAGAAGTGACAGCCTTAAAGAAGTGCATAGCGACGTTGGAAACAATTATGAAAGTTTAAATTTTTACCGATGCCTGCTCGTTCCGTTCTGAAGCTATCCACATATGATGGGAAGACATCCTGGCAAGGGTATAAGACCCAATTTTCTATCGTTGCGGGATGCGAATGGATGGGATTCCCAAGCTAAGGCCTGTCATCTCGCCGCTTCTCTGAGAGCAGACGCAGCGGATATCCTGAAGACGCTTCCCGAAAACAAAGGTTAGATTTTCGAAGCTCTATCCGGCGCTTTGGAGCTGCGCTTTGGCGAGAAATGTTTAAAAGACTACAGCAGGCTCAATTAAAATCTCGTCAACAGAAGCCCACCGAAACTCCAGGGAGCTCGCCACGGAGTTGTGAAAGGCTGTCCCATCTCGCCTTTACGGAGTGCCCGACAGAAAACAAGGGAAATCCTGTCCTGCAATATTTCATCGATGGCATCCGGGACCAAATACAGAAAGCTCTGCGAATGGCGGATGTTAAAAGATTTGAAAAAGCGCTTTAGTGTACGCCATGAAATTTAAGGCAGCCCAGCAAGCCACTCGTCGAGACCGCCATCCCTGTCAGAGCTGCTCAAGTCCAGGAGCCAAGGGATCAAGTCACCGCTCGTCTAGACGATTTAACTAGACAACTGAACGCCTTGAGACAGAATATTGGTGAGAAGAAACCGACCGTTAAGTGCTGGAACTGCGGTGCTGAAGGACACATACGACGAAACTGCAGAACACCCCAGGGACGGATGTTAAGACCGCTTCCTAACAAGCAGCAGGGAAACTAATTAGTGGCCATCTCGCGGGGCGGAGGTTGCCAGATAATGAAAAGCCCCAGTTTAAAGCGCTTCAGATTTCTGCAGTGAGAGGCGGCAGTAATGGACTTTTCATAATAGGACATATTAATGGAGTTCCCCTGCAATATGACGATAGATACAGGAGCCAACGTTACCATCATCCGAAAAGATTTGGCTCAACAACTGGGAAGGAAGCAAACTTATCTGGACGCCGCCCTGCGTTACCCTCAGACTGTGTCCGGTGAGAAGATCGACATCGACGGAAAAGTAAATGCTAACATCACGTTTTGGAAGTGCCGCTTACCATCACACGGCATATGTAGCAGACATCACTGATTCTTGCATACTCGGATTGGACTTTCTAAGGAAATACAATTTTTCCTTGGACTTTAAAAATAACGAATTGCATTCTACATCTGAGGACCATAGCGTTATTTGGAGTTAATGATGAAGTTAAATCTGTCCATAAAATCATAGCACAAGACAATATCACAATACCGGCAAGAACAGAAATTTTACTTCCTGGATCCATAGCCGAAAACAGAAATTCCGCTACGGCATCATAGAATATCCCAATAACTGTAATAGCCCAAAAGGAGTACTAGTAGCCTCAACACTCGTCGACCTATCCAGAACGGTTATCCCGGTGAGAGTCGCCAATGTAACTGAGAAGGGGAGAGTTATTAAGAAAGGTGAAAGTGGTTGCAGCATGTACTCCAGTAACCACCGTTGAAAGAAAGAGTAACATCCAAGAATCCGTGTCCTTCAGAAGCATTACATCGGAGTTATTGCAGAATGCGCAAAAACGATGAAAGAGAAGAATGCTGCCGATCGCGTCATTAAAGATCTCAAGTTGTTTTCTCCCGCTCGTTTCTGACGTGGGTCGAACTAGTTTGACACAACATAGAATCGATACCGGCGATCATCCCCCGATCAAGCAACATCCAAGACGTACTACGTTTGCTAAAACAGGAAGAGGTGCGAACACTGTTAAAAAGGATATGGAAGAAAGATGTCATCGAGCCTTCAGCAAGTCCATGGGCATCTCCCATCGTTCCTAATCAGAAAGAAAGACGGCTCAACAAGATTTTGCGTTGACTATCGCCGGTTGAATGAGGTACGAAGAAAGAAAGACAGTTACCCTCTTCCTAGAATGACGACATTTAGACACTCTTTCTGGAAGCAAGTGGTTCTCAACACTTGATTTAAAGAGTGGGTATTGGCAGGTAGAAATACAAGCCTGAAGACCGAGAGAAAAGACGGCATTTACTACGGGACAAGGGCTTTGGCAATTCAAGGTGATGCCGTTTGGACTGTGTAATGCGCCGGCAACATTCGAACGTCTTATTGGAAACTGTTTTGAAAGGCCTTTCCTACGAAGCCTGCCTGATATACCTGGACGACATCATCATCGTCGGAAAGAGTTTTGAAGAACATTTAGAAAATCTTAGGAAGGTGCTTCAGAAACTGAAAGAAGCCAATCTGAAGCTGAGCCCCGCTAAATGCAAATTGTTCCGAAAGGAAGTGACTTACCTGGGACATGTCATCTCTGCAGAAGGTGTGCGCACGGATCCTGAAAAGGTATCAGCGTTAAATCCTGGAAACGTCCCGAAAATGTCCATCAGCTGAGAAGCTTCCTAGGCTTTGCACCTACTATAGGAGATTCGTGAAGGACTTTTCTTCCATCGCAAGACCCCCTCACAAGCTGACAGAGAGCAAGCAAACGTTCTTGTGGACAAAAGAATGCGAGGATGCATTTAACAACTTAAAGGAGGCTTTAACATCTGCTCCAATCCTGACGTATCCTCAGCTCGACCGACCATTTATTCTCGACACCGACGCGAGCAATGAAAGTTGTCGGTGCTGTTTTGTCCCAAGAAATAGACGGCCAAGAACGTGTAGTGGCGTACTGGAGCAAGTGCCTGTCTAAACCGGAGAGGAATTATTGTGTCACCAGGAAAGAGTTGCTCGCCATAGTCAAAGCCGTAGAACATTTCCATCATTATCTATACGGCCAGAAAATTCCTCCTCCGCACGGACCATGCCTCAATTGGCCTGGCTTTTAAATTTCAAGAATCCTGAGGGTCAAATAGCCAGGTGGGATACAGAGACTTCAAGAATATGACATCACTATCCGTCATCGTAAGGGATCATCACACGGGAACGCCGACGCCCTCCTGTTTAGAAGACCTTGCCAAGAGAAAGCTGCCGAATATTGTTCCAGGGTGGTTGCGAAATACGAGCTGCTGACTCCGGTCGCAAGACAAATTACAACATCAAACATCGGCTGATCGAGAGACCCGTGGAGTGATGATGAGGTCAGGAAAGACCAGCTGGAAGACCGCGACATTAAACCCATAATTGATTTAATGGAGTCATCAAACAGAAAACCTACATGGCAGCACATTTCTATCTGTAGTCCTACAACCAAACAATATTGGGCACCAAACAATATTGGGCACTGGGATTTACTTCACATTCGAAACGGCGTCTTATACCGGAAATTCGAATCGGATGATGGGAAGACGTTCCGATGACAGCTGATACTTCCAAGATCCCGCATTCCTGATGTCCTTAAAGAACTACATAACAGCCCTACGGGAGGTCACTTTGGAATAATGAAGACCTTACAGAGAGTTCGTGAGCGCTTTTACTGGAATAATGCAAAGGATGACGTGCAAAAGTGTTGCCGATCTTGCGATGCCTGTGCAGGTCGGAAAGGGACCAAAGAGACGCAGCCGAGGC